ATTTTTCTCTTTCGACATATACGGCAGGAGATCCGCACCCGGGCGTGGATCTCCCGAGCCGATCTCTCTCTTTTTCTCTCTCTCTCTCTCTCTCGAGTTATATCCTTATTAAATCGCGATTAAGGCTCCCGGTGTTTGCCTTACCCGGCGACGCACCGGGGGGTATACATGTAAGTGTACGCGCGTATTATAATAAGGAGAGAAATGGATTAACTCGCGCTCGATGATCGGCTGTATTGCACCAACCTACGTCGCGAACCGAGTTGGTTTCTCCTTGTTTTTTCCTTGCGGCTTTATTTTTTGTTCCTTTATTCGCACGTTGCTCAAAAGAATTTTGCGCTAATATTCAAATTCCGGGCCATATAATTGACTCATCCTATTGAATTTCGAGATTCGCTATCGGTTTTTATAGCCTAATTATAAATACGTATATTTCGTACGTCCTATACCTTTTCTTTTTTTTTTCTTCGCACACATTCATGCACAAGTCGATTCGCAGCCACAATGACTCAGATCGCAATACATCTTGGCTCTCTCTCTCGGTTTTCGTTGATACAAACGTGCGAAAAAAAAACAAAAGAGTATAGAGAAGATTCCTCCGAATATCCGGTCTCGCGCGCGCGCGTTATTTTTAGGAGATTTAACATTCGACGATTTCTCTCTCTCTGTCTCTATCACTCTCTGTTGTTTCGCTCGTTCGAATCGTATATTAGATTTAAACAAATCCATAAGACACCCAAGCTCAGGCTCGCGCGCGAGGACTTGTAAGCAAAATATTTATAGTTGTCTTCTTCAAACAACAAAAATAAAGGAGCTCGTATATTATATTATAAAGGCAAAATACGGTGCGTGTGCGTGGAGTTTTGAATAAATCAGGCAACGCAGGCGCAGGGAAGTCGCCTGAATCGGAAAGAGAGCCGAGAAGCGAGAGAGAGAAAAAGAGACAGGACTCGAGTCATTAGCGCGATAAAGGAGCCCACAAACTTTTCGGGGACGACAGAGAGAGAGAGAGAGAGAGAGAGAGAGAGAGAGAGAGAGCTATATGCTACGGTCAAAAATTCAGTGGTCGTGCCACGGTAGTAGTAGGCGCTCGCGCGCGTTGACGCTCCGGTAGCAGACTAATTGGCAGAAATATATTTATGTCCTTTTTTTTGCTCCTTGCTCCGAGTCTGATCTCGCACACACATATACAAAGAAGTATACGGATGCAGACTTAAGAAGACGTCATTCGGATACCGCGGTCACTTTTTTCTCTCTCTCTCTCCGTCTCGCACTTTTTTTATAATAATATAATGCGAGGTACGCGCGGCAAAAACGTGACGATATAATCATATATGCGTGGATCGTATTATAAATCGATTTTCAACAAACAGCGATCGAATGCGTATTGTAGTGAGGACATTTTTAAATGGATATTTTTTTTTTGCCGGATCATCAAGATGTTTTGTTTTTCGATCTTTGTTGTTGTTTCTCTCGCAAAAAGCAAGTTTTCAAACTCGATATGCATTTATAAATTCAGAAATATTTTTTTTCACAAAGCTGTCAACTGTGAATAGATTTAAAGTGCTCCTTGTGGCCGATTGCGTTTCTCGGCTGCCCAAAAAAAGAAAGGTGAACAAAAAAAAAAGAAGCATTGATAAGAAAGTTCATTTTCGTCCTCGCGACGACGACAACGAATGAACGAAAAATTCACTGCGTGCGTGCACATAATGCATCATATAAAAACATTACGATAAAGTTTACTCAGGGGTCCAGCGAGATATGCGCGCAGGAAGTTTTCTCGGTTACGAGCGTTTCACTGTATTTATGTGTAAAGCAGGGCAATCAAATTATAAAAGGTGAGATATCTCAATTCCAATTAATCGGGAAAATCATATACGCGTCCAAATAAAAAAAAGGAAAAGAAAAAAGAAAATAGTTTATGTGCTCGCTACACTGTACTATAAGCCGCTGCTATCCAAATTATATTAATTATCGAGCAAAGCAAACAAAAACGAACGGGGCTCCTAAGCCGTTAGAACATTGGCCCGTGCCATATGCCTAGATATATACGCTTTGATCCTGTGCTCCGTGTACGTGGACTCCATATAATATTATATATGGTATGTAATTAAAGCATGGCGATCATTAAAGCCCTCATAAACTGCCGCTACTCTCCGGCAGCAGCAGACGAGTGTAATTCACGTTTAGTTTCTTTCTCTCGCAGCTAGTGTAGTGCTTGCTCACTCGTCACATTAACGTCTGAGTACGATTTTCCGCGGCGGTCTGCCGTCGGCCGGCGTCGAGCGTCTGTGCCGTATACGCAGATTCGCGCAGCTTATCCAAAAACTCTTTGGCTTACACGACGCACACCGCTTGTAATCTTTTTTCCTTAAAAAATTTTTTTTTCTTTAAAAAAATTAACAAAACAACGACACTTTGATCTGTCCGTCTGTCTCTCTTTCTCGCTATAAAATGCGTGTAGTCGCAGATATATGCGCGTACCAGTGCATAGACGAAATAAAACTTTTGCTACGCTCGAGTTACATCGAACTTGCGTAATAGATATATAAGAGGAGACGCGTTTATAGAAGTAGTGTGCGCCAGCGTACTTCTGCCTGCTGCTGTTGCTGCTGGGGAAAAGTTTGAGCAGCCGACCGCACTGCAAAAAGGACGAGGGGCAATTCAATTGGCTTCTGCAAACACTCCTGCAGCAGCAGCAGCATCACGAGAGAGAGAGAGAGAGACTATAATTCAATCCTGAAGTACAATATACACATACGCGTATACGCGCATCGCCACCGCATCTTCCCCACCCCCTCGCTTTCGCACACACACATACATAGCTATGTGCATTGCACGATGATGAGAACTTGTTAATACGAAAGTGTATATCTGTATAGAGGATATAAGGCTTAAGATACACGCCGAGGAAGGAGAGAGAGAGAAATGTACAAACGATGACAGCCAAGATGCAAGATCGTAATCGCGTGTGTATAAGTACTCGATGCGAAACATATATAACTTGCCACGCGATGCACCTGATATAATATCCGCACCGTAGCCTCGTGCATGTAACACATAAAGATCGACCGTCTTCGTTCTTCTTACATTATAAATTATTTTTATTATATCACACGCCTGGATTTCCCGACTTCTTCTCGCGGGCCTCGGTCTAACGCGTTTAGTTACATTCCGATAATGTATTGTTTACATTGGCTGATCGGATAATAAACACCCTGACGACGACGACTAATTCTCAAAGTTGTAATCGTCTTAGGTGTGATGGCGTTTCGTTGGTCAAAATTATAATATTGACGATTTGGAGTGTATGTGCTGTGTCAAAAGCTGCGCGTGTAATTATCGCACAATAGCCACGAAAGTCGGCTGCAATTAAATCGATAAAACGTATGTATAATAATATTGGTATTAATACTCGAAATAATTACTCGGACACGGTTAGGTCATTACTCGCACATGTTATTTATAAGATAGACGCGGACACACACGCTACTAAGTGATACAAACGCAAAATTTGTATTTAAATGCGAGAAATGTTATCCGACGGATCGACGACGGTCGCCGAGCTGCAATTCGTGTTCGTACATACGCTGTCTGGTATTATGAGTACTCGCACGTATGTATACATACACAATTGCGTGGCACATCGCATGAGCGCACCCCTCAACGACGACGACGACGACGACGAATTTGATGATCACGATGATGATATGCAAGCACTCAAGTCGATTAAACTTTTACTCCCCCTACATCTCTGTTGAACGCCCATGTGTATGTGTACAATACTCGACGTCCCGATTTTCTTACAGTGTATACTGTCGCATATCTCGATCTTCGGCTTACGGCACACAAATGTTTCATATTTTTTTACTTTTTTAGCGTAAAATCGATAGTAAATACAAGTGCTATTCTTATGATTCGAAGCAACGATCTCGATGGAAAAAATAAAAATATAAAGAGAGAAAAGGAGAGCAAGAAAAAATTTTTACGTATGCATGTATGCAATATACGTATTTAGGATACGTACTGTAGTTTTTTCGTATAAAATTTGAATACGCAAGTATGTAAACACGGGCCAGTATATACGATACACGCGCCGCCGAATCGCCTCGCACTCGGTGGAACTTGCAGCGCGCGAGTCAATTAAAATGGAAAATTTTCGCTATCGAAAAACTGTAGCGGCACGTTTGTTTCTGTGATTGATTTGCCTTCGATATACGGGCCTAATAATTATGTACAATATTATCTAGCGTTGCGCAATTCGCAATCAAGAATCTTGTGTCACCGCGCGCGCCTATAGTCCGTCCGTCCGTTATAACGTCGTTGCGAAAAAGCCGAGGAAATTATTATTTTTTCCTTTTTTTCTGTACATATCGAACAAATTCATCGTATGGTATGGTGGAAAAATAATAATTTCGCAAAAATTAATGCACAATCGAGGTTAAGGCGAACTAGGAGGCGAAGCAATCGATACATGATATATGGCAGTTACAGTACGAGTGAATATGATTATAAATGAATCTTTGCAAGCTGCGCGCATATATATCGACGGTTTTTCTCTCTCTCCATCTTTATGGTGCAGAGTACAGTGCGGAATCAAACAGTCGATAAATTAATTTAAATATCGTTTTTTTCTCTCCCCCTCCGACTTGGTTCTTTCATCTAAATTGTATCGAGGCACACACGGAAAACATTTGTCGCGAGCTTTCGTTAGATGGCAATTTAGCCGCGACGTAATGTACTGAAAAATTCAGACGCGCGGCTGTATGTGCAACGGGCGACCATCGAATGTGTATATATGGGGTTCATCGGGTGCTTATTTGTACGTACATAGACCAGGACGAAAATTCGATAATCTAATCGCTCGACTGCACCGCGCAGTTCGAAAACGAAGATCAGGAGGAGGAGGAAGAGTACATGTAATAGAGGGGAAAAGGTGAAACAAAAAAAAAAAAAAAAAAAAAAAAAAAAAAAATAAAAGAAGTAAAATTTTTGCTCACTCTGCATGACGTGATCGGCCGCCTCGTCGGCGTTCTTGATGGGCGAAATTTTGCAGGACCTCGGCGGCCCCTGGAGCGGGCCCAAGCCCTGCATCTGCGACGGATGCTGCGTCACGGGACCCATGAGCGCGGCGGCCGTAGCGGCAATGGCAGCAGCAGCACCACCGACACCACCACCGGCACCGGTGGCGGCGGCAACTCCACCCGTGACACCCACGCTTATGGCAGCAGAGGCTGTAGTAGCAGCAGCAACCTGGCCACCGCTACTAGCTCGCTGCATGTCCTCCGGGCCTCGTGCCAGTGCACCCACCGCGTAGCTCTTTCGCGTAATCTTGAATGATTGTGCCTGTGATCGCGATTGTCCTCCTATGCAGCGATTCGCTATGCGGCTTCTTCCTCTTCTTCCGATTCGGCTCTTGGCTTTTGCTGTTCGTTGCTTTAATGTAAATCCGGTGCGCACGAGAGCTCCTCCTCGTATTGCCTCTTTTTTTCTCGCTACGACTCGGTTGCCGTCGCACAATTTCTAACGACTTGTTATTATTATTATAATCATTCGCGAGCACTTTTATCACTTTTTTTCATTCAAGTCATCGCCGCTCGGATCTCGCTGTACTACTCTCGCTGTATGGTCGCATCTTTGTGAGATTGCGCACCCGTCGTCGTCGTTGACACAGTATAACAACAACAACAACCATAACAACAATGCATAACAATAACAACAACAGCAGTAGCAGCAGTTAACTATTATAAAAATAACACCAACATCGTAGCACTTTTAGGGGGGAGGACAGCAGTGTGGGAGGCTGATGTTGTTTTACCAGACGTCTAGATTAGAACAACAACGAAACAAAAATAATTGAACATTTCGCGCCACACGCACACACAGACACGCACACAGATGCTTTTCTGTCAGGGGTGGGGTTGGGGGGGCCCCGAAACAACTGTGCGTACATGTATGTAACCCGCGACAGCAAATACAGCACGACACGGGGCACAGGACGATGATCGCGCGACGAAGCCCAGGCAGACACTGACAAAAGCTCCGAATATGCGTGCGAGACAAACACGGCGGCTACGGCGGCGACGGCAGTAGTCCCCCCTCCACGCACGCACAGCTCGCACACGCATGCACACACACACACACACACACACACACACACGCACACACGCATACACACTCGGCCCAGCCGGTACTGTACGCGTCTCTCTCTTTCTCGCTCGAGGTCGGAGCCTCGATATATCGTGCTAGCGGAGAGTAGATGGGCACACGAGCTTGGAGTCGACGCCCCCCGGGTACGCTGCCATTGGTCGGCGAGGTCGGTGCCCCTACAAAATGGCTGATAAACGAGCGCCACCACCGCCGCCGTCAACGACGATGGTATACGTACAATGTGTGCGCGGGGAGAGAACTCAAGGTGGAGGAAGAGGAGGAGGAGGAGGAGACGCCGAGGAGAGGGTTGTATAGGCGCGCTGCTGCCGAGAGCCGCCGAGCAACTCGTGCCCGAGCTATAAACGAAGCGAAAGACAGAGACAGAGAGAATACTCGGCTGTGCTGCTGCTGCGAGAGCATAATCGATTGACGCCCATGTATATAGGCAGAGGAACGAACCAAGAATCGGCTCTTCTCGAAGCTGCGCGGAAAACGCGTATACGTAAGTCGGGGCGTGTGTAGATATAATAGATAGAAGAAGCGCGAGCTATATACGTATATACAGCTGTAGTACACATGCGCCGCGCAGCTCCACAGAGAGAAGCCAAGATTTCCACGAGGCTCGAGACGTCGTAGTCGTCGTCGTTTTCTTGAGCTTTTCACTTGTGCAGTTGACGCACACACACACACTTGTAAACTTGTCAGCGACGTGCATTATGTATAGCATTTTCGAGCCCACGAGCTTTTTTTGCATTTTATACCCTCGTTTCGCGCTCAGCTATATATGGAATTGCGCTCGATGCGCATAGACGCAATTACAGACAAGGAGAAATATGCTATGAATTAGAAGAAAAAAAAAAGTGGACGCGAAAAAAAGGCTCCCCCTCCTGAGGCCGCGCGCAGAGACCACGCGGACTTTTGCACCGACGCATTTGGCACAAGAGCTTGAAAATACACGAACTCGCAATTCTAGCATTTATATTTGCACTCATATAGTATATAGCGCAGACATTGTATATAAAAAGTAAAGTAGCATATTATATGTGTGCGACGTTCAAACGATTCGTCGTCGGTCGGGTCGTGCGCGAGCGACTAATGAACCCGAGTCAGGTGAAGTATATATTTATAAAAATCCAAATCCGCGTTGGATATTTGGCTCTCGTTACGTTTATGTATATATTGAACGAAGTTAAATCGAAGATTTCGCCTTATTGTATATGTATAGCGTACATCGTATACAAATATTGTATGTGTAGCAGATAGCGAGGCGACGAGCGGCACTTGTGATCGAGAAACGAAGTGAAGTGCCGCCGCCACCGGCCTACTTATATAAGTGCTCGCGTGTATGAGTAGGGAAATATCAAAGTTTTTTTTTCTATACACGCGCGCGCTCGCAAATACGCACTCACACTTAGTCTCGTAACGTCGATATAATATAAAGCAGATGAGCTCCTGCAAATATCTGTCCGGTACACTCGAACTCTCTCGCTCGAGTACGTAATACGTATAGCGCGGATAAATCGCGGAAACGGACAAAAAAAACGAGCCGCGAAAAAAAATACCACGAGTGGTTTCTCGCTCGATGGTCGTCGTACGTATGTGCGTGCGACAATTACGCCGCAAGTCCGAAACTTTCGGAGCTGCAGTACTGTGTTCTAGACCGCGCGCAGAATCTTCAGAAGTCGTGCCGCCGCCGCCGCCGCGCCCCCCGGCCGTCGCATTATAGGCTGCGCGCGCGAAAAGTCGAGACGGGGAAAAAAGTTCGCTGCGGCTGAAGTAAGGCTGCAAAGAGAGCTACGAATCGCGTGTATATGTATAATAAATGCCGTACAGCGGCTGTACATAGTAAATCCTGCGCCATCGGATTATCGCCCTATTTTTTTTTCTTTTTTTTTCTGGTAAATACCTTGAGAAGATGAGGAAGAAGAGAAAAAAATGCACAGTGTCGAGCGAGCAGTAGACAGTTGCTCTTTTTGTCTGCAAAATACCTTTACATACATCGTACCTCATTCTCTTCTCTTGCACGTTACGTGCGTAGCGCAACTGCAGCAGCAATCACACCTTACGTCGTAAGATCTTTAAGCCTCTGTGCCATGACGATGACGCTTTTATTTTAACGCCTTGCTGACTCCATTCAGACGACGCTGCTACTGTGTTGCCCTTTTTTCTTTTTCTTTCTTCTCGTAAGGATTTTTCAACAATAAGGTGATCGATATTATATTTATGCCCGCGTTTACGCGGATATGGCTTGTTAGAAAAGAGAAATATATAGTGACGAAATTTGTATGTCACAATTCCGTCCATACATATGGAAGTCCCGAGGAAATATGGCGAAATTTTTTTCAATTAGTTTTATAGGGTGCTGCACACATCAAGCTTGGTTAAAAATTATTATTATCATTAACGTTTTTTAATTAGTATTCCAATAAATGTAGAAAAAATTCAAATTGCGATCATGACTGGTTTTTGTAATGTGTAGAAATAAAAGAGATATTAAAATTTGACGGATTTACGATTCGATATAGACGGATCGTTACTTCACTTGACTTCAATTTTATATCATGAGTTCGTAACTTCACTTTCACACTGTGTAAACAAACTTAATACGTCGAGGTATTACAGGTATAATATGTAGGCCGACGAGAGTTTTCCCCAAAGCAGAGAAAATCGAATAGAGGTTACAACCGCTCGCAAAGATAACACTGTAATGCGTCCAATACACCTATGAGTGCATGCCGTAGTGGGAAATCGATGCATATTTTAGAATCATTACCGTGCCCGATGTAATGGTGATTTATCGAATCAGGTGAATAGCTTCTTATTTCTAACGAGAAATACTGCTTCACCGCAAGAAATCCTATATGAGACTGTTCGAAATTTTTGTCCTCGCATCCGTAATATCATGAATATAATTTAGCTACTTCATTAAATCGACCATTTCTTTCGGCATCTATATAAGAAAAAAAAAGAAATTCGTTAGATATATATCACACCGGGGTTATACGGATGTAAAATATTCAAGTGCTCGCGTGTTATTATATAGTGTTTGGGCGCGGGGATCACGCTTAAGAATCTCCGTCGAATCTCGACGACTACTGCCACTTGACTTGCGCGGCGCGCGGGGAAAACGATCTTTTTCTTTTTCCTTCCTCCTTCCTCTTTCATGTCGATTCTGATGTATAATAGTCAGCGCGTACAGCCTAATAGTAGACGCGACGAGTGCCGTGTAAAATATTGATGAAACGCGGGAGCGCGAGGGGAAACTTTACGAAACTGTCATATGGAACTGCAGTCGAGTAATAACATCGAATACATTACGAATCGACGAGATTCGAAGCTTATTCGATTGATTAATGGGGTCTTGAAAGTTTCTTCTCACGTAGACACGAGTCAAAAGTCAAATCGCTACCAGTTCTGAATCTAGACACTACGGTTTTCACCGCGGAGAAAAAAGTAAAAAATTATTCTGCTAAATATAATCGCGTCGTTATACTCGTGTTTTTATTTCGAGTACTCAAGCAGTAATTCTCTCGAGTCTCTCTCTCTCTCTGACTCTCGTGCTGTGCGGTTAAAACGACGCGATCGCGCGCGCGCCAAACATGTCTTCTTTTTGATAAAAGCCAGTAGCATCTTCTTAACATTTTCTCTCTTCTCCTCCCTCCGCCTTATTTTTTTATTTTATTTTATTTTTTATTGCTGCTTGCGATCGTCCAAGTTCCCCGAAAACGTATGTATAGCATATAGCCTTGTAGCATATACTACATGCACGACGATCCGATGGCGACGTCACGCGCGCCTCTTTTTGCTCGCTTTATTATCAATTATCTTTAAATACGTATGTATATATTTAGTGGTTCCTCGGAGAAGCCCGATTACTCGCTCTCTTCTCGTCGTCTGCAGCCGCAGCCGCAACAGCAGCTGGAGTGGACGAATACAAAAAAAAAGAGAAGCGCGAGGGAATAAAAGATTGATCGATGATAAATTGACTCGCGCGAAATAAAGACTCATGCCGTATATATGTAAATGCAAAGCGAATTTTTGCCTTCTATCTTTCCTTTCCTTTTTGTTCTTCTTTTCCTTTTTTTTGTTCTGCCTCGATAAGAGACGTGCATTTGATGAGGTGGAATGGAATTTAGGATGACGGCATACACACACACATACACACATGATATAAACTCGCAGAGTCGGGAGAGAGATCGGGAGTCGTACGCAAGCTGCAGTTGGCACGTTACCTTTTATAGCTACATTCGTGTTCGCGTACATAAAGACTGATAATGTTCGGCCGCTTAATGGGAATTCCTTAGAATTTTGATATAGGCAGAGAGTTGGGAGCTCGAACTCGGTCTACCCTGTCTTGTGCACAAAAACAATATCCTCTCTTGGATTCTTTCTTATTTACGCGTATTATATACTTTTCGAGTCGCGAATTTGGGCTTCGCGGCTTTCGACTATCTTTGAATACGAGTATAATATAACGTATATATCACACATACCGACTCCCTACGAAAAAAAAACACAAAAAAAAGAAAATGAACGTACGAGTGTGCTGCTCGCTCGCCATTATACGATTTCGCGTATACATCTATAATATAACGCTTAATCCGTCGGGCGTTCCGTGACACGAGGATACCGCGTGCGCCTTATCTGCGTCCGCGCGGGCGCGGGTGTAGTGAGAGATTGAACTCTCGTTTGTATATTAGCAATTTCACAATATATATGATAAATTTTCGGCTAGAGTCCAATTTTTTCTTTTAATTAGATGTTTATAATAATTTGTGGTTATTGAATTTAGAAGTCCTTTCAAAAATGAAAAACTTCGATAAGGGCAAACATTTTTTTTAAATTTGTCAAGTATTTAGAATAAT